AGAGATAAGATGACGACTGTGAAATTAGTCATTAGTGTGTGTGTGTGTGTGTGTGTGTGTGTGTGTGTGTGTGTGTGTGTGTGTGTGTGTGTGTGCAATGGTGGAAGCTTAAGTGTGTGTTAATGATAACATTTATCTGGGTTATTAAGTGTGCATTGTATTATCGACTGTTCCCACATAACATGAGTCATTTGCGGAGGACGAGGATGCACGAGGAGAATCCAATCTTCTCGTCCACACCTTTTGCTTCTCAAGTGAAAAACGTGAAAACATGCAAATGAGGGGGGAGGTAGATTCGTTCCATAGTGATAATCCAGAGGTGTCTGGTGATATAAAATTAATGCATGAGATGCTGTCCTTTCACTCTGTCCTTTCCTTCTCAAACTTTTTTTGTTTTTTCATTTCGAGGGATAGCAATGGATACTCGCCGAAACGCATCCTCTGGTGAAATAAAGCCAGTCGTCCTGAATGAGGATCGCTGGGGTTTGATTCCCTCAGAGCACTGGCTGTCTCTAATAGGCCTGAAAGACTGAGAGCCTGAAAGGATGAATGGCTTTTGTTGAAGCCTCCAAGGTTGGACACAAAGAGAAAGGCAGGGGGTGCCATGTGTGTTTGTGCGTCAGTGTATGTCTGTGTACGGACTTGTGCACGTCAGCTCCAGAGCCCTTATGAGTTAGATGGAAAGAGCAGGAAGTGGAGAGGAGACAGAAATACTCTGCCCTTGCTGCCTCTACCTCCAGGCCAGTAAAGAAGGAACTTGACGTACAAAGTGGCGTCAACACACACTTATGCAAACACACCCGTAATGTATATAAAACCATATTTTAAATGGCTTCTGCAGGGCAGATATGTAACGTTGAAAGCTTGCTGACTAAACAACACATAGTTGGGTCGCCATTGAATATAAAGAGCACTTTGCTGGAAAAATAATATGCACTCTTCCCCCCATTTATTTTAAGGATGGGACGTCTCTCTCTCTTCTGTAACCACTTCTATGCTGCAGAGTATTTCAAACCAGCTTCTCATGCCGTATTGTCGTTGTCATAGGACTACAGAAGAATCAGCCACTGAAAATGAAGAACTTTATTCTTGTTTGATCCGTCGTTTTTTTGCATTCGAATGCGTTCGATGTTGACATACATCATTATGGACAGCTGATGGAACGAAATCTGGCCAATCACATCTCATCTGCTGTTGCCTCAACTCTCTGCGGAGCGTCACAGTCAGCCATTCACGTCATCTTTTTCCAGACCATTTTTTCCATGTTTTTCTCTTTCTCTGTCTCTCTGGGCCCGTCTCGCTCTCTCATTTAGTTTCTTTTATTCTGCAATGTTTGCACTTGGGATACATAACAATGAGAACACGCTGTGTGAGCAAACACAATCGTCGGGGTGCCCAAAGAACTGCAGAAAATGCGCCGAGGCTGCACTGCGGTAGTTTGACTGTACAATGAAGATTAAACAGGGCAGCGTGGATCCGTTGATGGTTATAATGAGAACAATGTCCATTACTGTGATGATGGGGATGCAGGTGGTGCCGGTGACGACGATGATAATAATGATGATGTTGTTTGGTTGTTGTGTTCCTCCTCAGCCTGTGGGCCCCGGTGGTGTGGTCGAGAAGATGGACCGGATGAAGATTATCAAGCGGAGGCTGTCCATGTCTCTCCGCAGCGCTCGGCCCGTCGACGACTCACTGTCCGAATTGGCAGAACAGATGGCCTTGGACGAGCCGACCACAGCCAGGGACAATGGTGAGACACTTAAACTCGTATACGCTACCACGCAGGTATACACAGGTATATAATATGTATGCACCATGTGCATTAACTCCATAGAAATAGGATAACTTGGTTCTTAAAGATAGGGTTGGTAAGTTGTTTCTAGCAACAGAACTATGGATGAAAAAGGTTTTCTGTTGATTAAAAATGCTGAAAAGGTGTTTTTTTTTTTTAAAATGTGTACCATTAGCTGTTTGGTTACATTTATCACATTCCATTTTCCAATGTTTTTTTCTCACTTGCTGCCGCTATTACCTCTTTGTAAAACCATTAGTCACTGAAGTGGAATTGATTATGGGATAGGTTGTGCAGGGAAGGATCCCTCTGGTGAGGCCTTCGTTGCTCAGGGGTGGAAGAACACATTTGTTTGCAGCATTTGAAGGAAACTTAGAAATCGGGACAGTGTAGTTGTGCCACTGTGACGCAATCGGTTTTCAAATGCAGCCCCCAAAGGATGCAGCCACTGAAATGAGACACATGTATCAAAAATGTTTGTGCGTCAACATTCAGGAAAATGTGAAGCTCTCATGAAGACACAAAACAACACACACTAACGCAATGCTTCACCTGAGGTTTTCCACTCACTGGAGTCACGTTAACCTTCATCATCCTCACCTCATCATCAGCTCTGTCACCATCACTTCACTGTTCACTTCACTTCATCACACTGACAGGAGTAGCACACTGGAAATGTATGTGAACACACAAACGTTTGTTGTGAATTTGTGTTTTCACGAGTTTAGGAAAATGTTTCATCTCGGAGAAGAACATGCAAAAAGCAGTGTCATTCTCAGAAACTCTGGTTGCCATCTGGTGGGCAACTTCCAGGACTGCAGGTCTGCAGAGTCCTCACCTGACATACAAACATGATCATCCATCTTTGTGCGTGTTCGCGTCTTTATCTTGCTCTCAGCCAGAAACCAGATGAGAGCATAGAGCGAGGGAGGTTGCCGTGTGTTTCTTGTCAAAGAGAAAAGACAAAATCAGGAGCCAGACACGTTTCAGTGTTGAAATAAGCTGTGTGTGTTTTAGGCTAGATGTATTGGCTCGGAGTTTGGGTACAAGCAGCGATAATGTTTGTTTGGTGTTGCTGTCATTCCAGCTCCTGGGCTGCAACATCTATATCCAACTGATTAATTTCATTCCCTGCCATCACTCCTCTCTCTCTCCCTCCTATTTTTGCTTCCATCTCTTCGTATTTAACAGCTCGAGCTGAGTGAGTACATTTCCAGAGAGCGCGATGAGAAAGGAAGAGGCGAGGGATGGGAGTGGGATGGAGGAAGTGATGTAGGAGATGAGGCGAGGGACATTAAACTTTAACCACAGCTATACATCTTGTACTTATCATCCTGTGTTGACCTTTTCCCTCACTGTATCACCCTCTCGACCCCCCCATCTCTAGACATCTCACTCAGACGGTGCAAAATAGCGGTGGGAAGAAAAAAAATCCTCACATTTTTCAAAGTGCTAATTAGAAACCATGTTGAGGCTGCTACTGGCCTCAGATCAGATTCCTTTTCTTGGAGGACTTAGATGGGTGTTACTGGAGGCGATAAACCGGGAGGGAATTGTGTGAGGATTTTAGGGGAACATTAAACTCTAATGCTCTGGGATCACAGTGGAATTTACAGTGCAATGTGCAGGAAATTGGGGATTATTATGAAAGATAGGAGATGTGACATGTGGGCTTCCAACCTTGCTTGAAAGCAATGCTTGAGAGAGGTGAAGGAAAGTTGATGTATGCGTCCTGACAGGGTTTGTGAGGTTATTTAGCTTTGAAAATCCTTTTATTTGTCCGCAAGCTCAACATATGACCCACAGACTTCGATTCAGTTTGCTAGATATATTTTCCAGTCCCTCCGTCAGTGATTTGGTTTCGCCCTTATCTCCCTGGTTTCCTACAGTTTGTCTGCTAGTTTTTCACGTGCATGCCTCTTTCTTTTTTTAACTCTCTGTTCTCTTGATCAGCCTATGACTCAACACATTTTCCACAATGCACGTCACATGCATTATATACGTTCCATGGTTACATGTTTTTCTATGTGCCACGACTGTTCCCCCCTCGAACATGAGTACCGCAGCTGTATGCATTCCCACCCTTTTATCGCAGCACTACATATTGTACTGTTCCTACATGTTCTGCTGCCTCTCTGTGTCTACTCTGTGTATGACCTTGTGTCGTCTCTTTTCCTCTTTCTCTTTTCCTCCTGTTCCCTCCTATGATTCCTGTCATCTGCCTCTTTATTTTGACACTTCTGTCCACTCCTCTGCTTTTCTTCAAATTTTCATTGATTGTTTCCCCTTGTTTTTGAACTCTCTCTCCTCTCACTTTGTCAACCTGCTTTCCTTTGGAATTTTCTCTTCTCCTTCTTGTCTTCTTTGCTACTCTCTTTTTTGTGTTTCTTCTTGTCCCCGGCTGTCTGTCTGCATCATGTGTCTCAGAGCCCATGGTTGTGTGTGCCATGCACCCTCCTGCCTCCCATAGTGCTCCCTCCTTCCTGCGTCAGTACGCTGGTCATCTGGGCCGCACCGCCCTGCGCAGAGAACCAGGTGGGGGGCTGGAAAGAGACAGAGCCTACCTGAGCCTGCACAGGACTGGATCTCTGGGTACACACACACACACACACACACACACACCTAGCTACCTACCTTAAGCTTACAACAACCACATAGCTGCACAAACCAGTGTGGGAAAATAACAAAGTACATCTACTGAATTACTGTTCTTAATTTTCAGGTAATTTGGTGTTTACTGTCTTTGAGTGTTCCTAATGTATATTTCCTTTATTCAACTACATTAAAAAAGCAGATATTGATATGTGTAAATATTGTACAGCTACAGTCAGTACATGTACGAGTGCAAAAACATATCTACTCACACAAACTGGATATTCGCCTAACATTTACCACAGATCTAAAAGGCTAAAAACACTAATGACCTTAATCCAACATTCACAAATGCATGCATGCACATGTTCACAACACCCCCGCACTCTCACAATCACTTTTTCCTTCTGTCTCTCTGCATAATGTAATGGAACACGTTGTCTGTGGTTCCATGGATCCCAGTAATCTCATTTCCCACTGTGGTGGAACGGCTTACATCCAGAAGGAAGGGAAAGTCGAAGATGGAGGGAAAGGGGGAGCTGAAGATGTTCGATGGGTTGAGAATGAAATGAAGCTTGGAAAACAGCGAGAGATGGATTTATGGGGGGTTGAGCGATAGGGAGGGAGGAATGAAAAGTAAAGATGAAAGGAGGGAGCGGCTGGCTGAGTGGTATCGGAGAGTGGTAGTTCCACAATGACTCCTTTAGGAGACCTATTAGCTTTGTACTTTGTATCCCCTGAGTCCTTGGCTGCATGAACTGCTGATAGACCACAACAAGACTCCTTGATTCATTGAACTCTGGCTGACAAGAGAACGAGTCCTGTGACTGGAGCGTGATAAGAGTGTGATTTATGAAACTTAAACGTGCTACAAGGAGTTTTTAACCGGTTATGAAACAGCCTCATTTTAACATTGCTGCCTCTTTATGACCTATAACAGCAAAATTGGCTTTATAAACTATTCTCAATGTCTGTGGTCGGGTCAGACCACCGCATGAACAGCACTAAAACAAAATTATTATGTTGTCGAATATTACAGTTATCAATCATACGGCAACAAAGGAAACATCATCTCATTGCTCTGTGTCCAGCAAACAAATGCATGTCTTTTTTCACTCATTTCAAAACAAACGCACACGCTGGCTACGAAAGGAGAGGATGGAAACACTACCACTTTTGTCCTCGGAGGCGCCAAACGTCTACGAAAATGTTAAAAGTGCCTTGAAGGGGCTTTAAATGATCCTTGTAAAGAAACATGGACATCAGCATGGGGTGGGTTTCATTTGAATATCAGTGCTATTGCTGATATGATACCTGACTTTTAGTACCAATACAAACCAATACATTTTAGTATAAAACAGTATAGAAATGTTTATCGACAAAACATTATTTTTCAAGAAACAAAAGAAGCCACAAAAAGATATTTGACTACATACAATCCAATATGTCTGATTAAAGAATAAGTCAGTTGTACAATAAATCAACTCTGACGCTCAACGCCGGCAGCATCAGTACAATCGTAGTCAGCCATGACTATGATGGAAGTAGTTAATGACAGATATTAGAGCATGAAGACGCGCTACATGTTAAAAGTACTGTGCACAGAATTTGGAAAATAGTGCCTGACGGTTACTGATTATAATGATAGTTTAGTTAAGCAAATCTAATTATCATAGAGACAATATTGGCCAATGTTAATTTATAGACAGTAACAGTTTTCTGACATGTTCCCAGTGGGACATGCTCTAATTAAACTGGAATGGCACTCAGTAGAGCGACCAAGGCCCAACAGTCCCCTAAATTCAATCAAGCTGCGTCACACACTCAGAAATGTCAAACAACTCACAATATTGAAAAAGGTGATTACTTATTCTTTCCCTTTGTTCAGATCCGTGCTGTGATTTAATGGGTTCTTTCTTGACCTATTTCTCATCCTTCCACCAAGTTTTTGGAAATCTATTCAGTACTTTTTCATAATCCTGCTGACAAACAAACTAACGAACAATCACACATGGGTGAAAACTCCTCGGCAAAGGTAATAAATAAGCAGTCATTCTTCTTTCTTTTGGCTTTTGTCTACTGCTGACAGGGAAATGTGTAGAAATACGAGAGTGACTTCGTTCTCGGAGGTCTGCAGCTGTCTATGAGCTTAAAAGCCTTTAAAAGGACAAATCTTGACTCAGAACAGAGAATAGATGGTGCTGTAATATTAAAATTTTGATAAGGTGTAGTTTCAAAGGTTAAGAGGTGCGTGTGTGTGCTTGTGTGTTTCCCACTGTTTGGTCTTGCTGACTCACTGTGTGCCACTCAGCAGTCGGAGCACGTCGCAGCCTTTAATAGAGCAACATGATGATGCAATCTCTCTTCCCTGCTGCAGATTACCCACCCTTCCTCTGCTTTCTCTCCCTGCTCTTCTAACTTGCTCTATCCACCCGCATTCATTTAACTACATTTGTCATCTGTGTAGGGCTGACTGTAGGGTTAGTTTTAGAGCTGTTGGGCCAGTAGCCAACGCACGGAGAGCTTTTACAGGTTTGTGATTCATCTGTTGCTAACCGGGCCAACGCTCACTCCCACCACCGTGCACACTGTACTTACAGGAAAGAAAGACGAACACTGCACTTTTCATTTTAGCTCTTCGCTACCGCCTCACCTCTCCCCTTCTGTGAAGATGTCTGGTTGCACTGTTGAGGATTAGTCGGCACCTCCTGTCTGTTTTGCTGAGAGAGAGGAGTCTGCTGAAAGGCTGCCCGGCTCCTCTCGGAACACGTCTCAGCCGGGCAGCTATTTCTGATACTGTCACAGATGTCTCCTCGTTCTTTTCTCTCTTCCACCTCTTTCTTACCACATATATCCAAATGCTATATTTAACCTCCAGATAAAATCAGAATGGGGCAAAGATAAAGGATGGAAAGCTTTTCAGACCAGCCTTATCTCATCCTCAGTATTGTGCACCATGAGAGACCTTGTTTGTGCCAGGGATTTAATGTAATGCATTAACACTGCATTAATCCCTTTGGCCCACTCACCCTCTTTCTCTCCCTTCACTCTTATCCATCCATTTGCTCACACTAACCCTCCACCCTCACTCTTAGATTGGGTTTAATAAGAACAATGGAGTAGACTCCTTTTATGTAGTTCGTCTTCTCAGCTTTTATGTGTGCTCCTGCGGCTCGCTTTAGGGTAAAGGATGCTCCGCAAGGATTCCGGTGATTTTCAGAGTAGGTAGGAAAGAGAGGAGGGGATGAGGCATTTGGGACCAGCACAAGAGGAGCCGGTAGCTTACAGTAGGCACTCTGGTCCCAGTAATTGAATAATAAGATTCCTTAGATGCAGATAAAAGGTTTAGATGTAATTACTGCAGTCTAAATTCTACCTCCCCTCCAGCCTCGTGTGCATTTCCCTGTGTGTGCATGTTCCTCTGGGATTTTATATGCACTCTAACTTTTATCGTCTCACCAGTCTGGAGGCAGACTATCCAATTTATGATTTTAAAAAAAGATGAAAAACAATATATTTTAATTGTACTCTGAAATGTAGGGGAGCAAATATGGATGTTAAAACACGAAACGGTGACAGTGAATGAGACCTTGAAAGAAGTGAAAAGCTGTGTGGAGGAGGCCATATAGAGCAAGAGAGATATCTTTGGCCTACAGCCGCATGTGAACATAAAGAGACAGGGAGACAGTGATAGGTGAAGGGATGAGCTCTGAGCTTTTGTCCTTGACATTTTACACAGCATGAAAGTCAAGGATGAAGCACTCTACATCAATATATGTCTGTCAATGCACTCTCAATGGCTATTACTCTTTACTTGAATCCAACTTAAAGTAATGAGGCAGAAACAAGTGTCATGTTGGTTTTAGATAATAAATAAATACAGCATGCTTGTAGTCCTCTCAAATATTTATTTGAATATAAAGATGTTTTCAAGATGTGCTGAGTAAAGAGAATGGCGATGAGCTCACATATGTACTTTTCTAAGTCAATTGTACCATCACATTGTGGCTGCTGCCAAGTCTGGTTATGTATAAGTGCATCTTTATTGACATGCAGGGCGTGTTAGCCTCTGTGTTTTAATAGTGAAAGCCTATGAGACAACCTGGTTATTGACATGAAGGGAGAGGTCAGGTTTTATGTTGCAGTAACTGAACACATTTATTTTAATGTGACAATTCTTGAGATTATTGTGGGGAAAGATGGCATTTAATAATCTATCATGCTGATATTTTGTCAGTTTAAGTTTCTCTGGCGGCAAGGTCCGTTTTATGGCAAACCTTTGAAAATATGCATGCAGCTCTGGTGGTCGTGGGATTTTAATATAAAATACACATGCATGTCTCAAAAACTGATACAGTTGCATCGTTCTTTGTCTTCTTTTGCACCATCTGTGTTTCCCAAAATACATCCCCACTACCATAATCTTCTGAATAAAAGATTCACATTTTCCCATGAAACAAGAAGGTTCTCAGTGCGGATCGCAGCTTGGCAGGAATCCGTAGTATGTCCTCTCCATGCTTGTGTGGCTTTTCTCCAGGTACTCCGGCTTCCTCCCACATTCCAAACACATGCAGACTTGGGTTAAGTTAAGATTTTTATTCTCTGTATGTAGGCCCTACGATACACTAGCAACCTGTCCAGGGTTTGCCCCCCTCAACGAATGTCAACTGGGATTGGCCACAGCTAACGCCCCTTCAACCCTGGAAGTATAAGCGCTACCTCTATATAATGGATGGATGTGTCAACTACAGAATAAACTAAAAGTATCAAAAATAAAAATGCACACATCGCAAGTGTTTCCTTCACTTTATTTTATTATATTATTTACCGTATTATTGATTATATAGTTGATGTTGGTTGAGCTGAAGCTCATTTGAACTGATTCTTGTTCTGGTCGCTGGTGTAATCTATAACAAGGCATTGTATGTTACAAACTGCATGTGTGCAGTCTTGATGGGCATGTCCAGTAAGAATGTGCGATGGCACACGCAAGGGGAGCA